GATAGATAGATAGATAGATAGATAGATAGATAGATAGATAGATAGATAGATAGATAGATAAGGGTACTTCTTTCAGACAATAGTGTGTCTTATACAAAAGTAAACCTCACTAATTTCATTGGAATTTATGCTGAGATCTGTGTTCACTCAACAGTGTGTCTTGTTGGGTACAACTGAATTTGTTCCCAAACAAATGGTATAGGACTGATGTCATGCTTTTAGTCATGGGACAATTGTCAAGAATTAGCCATTTTAAATGCACAGGATACGTAGGTGGTTTTATGATCAAAATGCCTACATTAGATCTGGAGATGGCAGACAAGATATTCTGGAAGGGCTCCAAGAAGTATATACATATATCTTTGATGTTTCACTTGTACAGATGATATATTCATCCAAGACAAAGATGACTTTTCTAAAGAATAGGTGTTTCAGCAATTTTTAAAAAATAACCAAGCATGCACAGCATTTGCTTTTAATTGCAAGTAGCTTCTTGGATTAAGACGAGCACTTTCATGATCAGATTATTGATCTATTGTTATAATGGAAGTCCTGCCGTCCTTTTAAACAGTGAAGAGCTGCATCAGAGGACACTGTTTCAATACAGTGACAAAAGATGACACAATCTGCCTCAGTTATTTGGCAGAGTTGGAAGGATGATGTCACTGACATTTTATCTTTACCTTCTGGTGCACTGGATTATGTTCATCATTTGATTCACTAAACTCATAAGCAAATAATGCCATGCCAAAGTGTCTCCCCCTCCCCACCAAAGTTTGCTTACAGGCTGTCAAGCATGATGATCTTCTCTACCTTACATGGTTTCACAGCCAAGGCTGTCAGGGAATGGGTGAAAAGTAATTGTTTTCAAGTGTGCCCTTTTGCAATCATTTGTTTGCTCTAGCTCTTTCCTGAACAAAAGCTATTGTGGAGCACATCCAGCTAAACAAATAAGTCATTTTGGGGTCCCTTTAACAGCTGCCTTGGTACAATGATCTATTTACATATGGTCCTAAAACTGAAACCGAACTCCTT